ACATGGCATCTGGCCTGTTGTTGTTTGCAGAAGCATAGTTTGCGTTGTTAGTTGGAAGACTCTTGCTACCCATGGGGCAGCCCTGTTATTGATCGTTGATCAACTATTTACCAAGCAGCTCCCATGTAAATATTTATATGGCCAAGTGCTGGGTGCTCTGGGTCATGTGATAATTGGTAACACATGGTCTCTGCACTTGTTAAAAGACTACAGCAGGGAAAACAAGCAATGTATGCAAGACAAAGACCCTCGCCCTGCCCCCCAAAGCGCAAAAGAAACAATGATGTAGGTGGTTTAGGGGCATCCATCCACCTTGCCTCCCAGGGAGCTCACTCTTGGGGGAGCAGGAAGTGTTAGTCTCCCTTCCCAAGGGGATCCTCACAGTGTCGTTCACCTTGGCAGTGTGGGGCCATGTCTGAAAACGTTTGCATTCTCTGTGGTCCTAAACACAAGCCAGTTACCCTAGTCATGTGCCAACAGAAGAACAGCAGACTGGAAGAAAACGGGGTTTGTTGGACTCCCTGATCATTGCCAAACCGACATAATGTTTTCTACAGGTGTTGCAAGATTTTTAAAGGGTGATTCTGAATGTATTTTATGTTTGTGTCACTTGCTGACTTTAGAACTAACATAATAAGATGTAACTTCATTTATGTCGTAAACACCAAGTATATAAATAGACAATACTATCTGGAAACATTTGACCCCCTCAAAAACAAGACAGAATTTCCAGGCCAGGACATCAAAGCAAAGTGGGTTAACTCAATGGCTGATATTTTAAAGTCCGACCCAGTAAGAGCCGGGTTGTGGTCGTGACCACAAAGGCAGTGGGGGAACGTGCAGTCACACTGTTGCCTCGTTTACTTTCCCTGCTCTTATGCCCCATCACTGGGTCACAGGCACTGAGGGTGAGGGGTGGGGTGTGAAGCAGCTCTGGGCCAGAATTATGGCAGAGGCAAGAGGCAAATCGTAAGGTGAGGAGTCTAACAGGACAGTAGCCCCCAACTTTTTTGGCTTCAGGGACTGGTTTTGTGGAAGATAGTCTTTCCACAGGTCAGGGTGAGGGAGGTGGTTTCAGGATGACTCAAGCACATTACATTTATTGGGCACTTTCTTTCTATTATTATTACGTTGTAATATATAATTAAATAATTATACAACTCACCATAATGCAGAATCCTTAGGATCCCTGAGCTTGTTTTCCTGTAACTGGATGATCCCATCTGGGGGTGATGGAAGGCAGTGACACCTGAAGTGTGTTGGTTGTGCCCATTCTACTTCATAATCTCATTCTGGTCGCTGTCACTGCGAAAATCCCTGCTTCACAAAGGTAGAACATTGGAAATGGAAGCAGGCTTTTCAGTGGCAATCTTAGGATATTCACCACTAATGTTAAATCTGTATTTCCAACCACTCCCCAGTGCTAGTATTATGGCCTCAGCTCCACCTCAGATCATCAGGCATTCAATTATCATAAGAAGTACCCAGCCTAGATCCCACACATGCGCAATTCACAATAAGGTTTGTGCTCTTATGGGAATCTAATGCCGCCGCTGATCTTACAGGAGGTGGAGCTCAGGCAGTAATGCAAGCAATGGGGAGTGGTTATAACTGCAGATGAAGTTTCACTTGTCCACCTGCTGCTCACCTTCTGCTGTGGGGCCCAGTTCCTAACACAATATTGGTCTGTGGCCCAGGGATTGGGATCCTCTGTAGTAGGAGACCCTTCAGTTAAAGGTGGGGACTCAGAAGACTGGCTATATTTTCCATGCATAGGTCAACAAGAAATAAACCTTTCCTTGTACCCTACCCTCAGCCCCTTAGACACTGAAGGACATTGCTTGTCTCTACCCTTGGTGTTGAGTGGAGTGGAATGGAGAATGGCTCTCTCCCCTGAAGATTTATAGCCACAGCTGGCCCTCCTTTAAGCTTGGCCATGAATTCACATTTCCTAGGTTTCCTCAAAACCTTTAGACTGAGAATTTAGTTTAAGGTCCTGAGCTGGACCCTGTCACCTACTAGAGTCAAATGAATATTTTATCCAGAGGAATCCTCCTTCAACCCAAACCTCAAATAATTCCCACAGGTAAAGTTTTAAGGAATGTGAGATCACAGTTTAAAAATTACAAAACAAATAAAGAAACATGGCACCATGAGCAAAAACACCAGACAGTATTAGTGATGGGGTCATGAGAGTAGGAAAAGTATACAGGACCTACTTAGACTAAGGTATTAAAATTACCATATAATGCAAAATAAATTTTCTCCTGTGTCTAGAGAAATTAAAGGAGTAAAACCAATAGATTGAAAGTATCACCAAGCAGATTTGAAAAGGAACTTAACAGTTTTTTAGAATTGAAAAAAAAAAAGTTTAAAAATCAATGGATGGGTCTAACTGCAGATTAGACCTAACTGAAGAGAGATTTAATGTAGATAAATACATCATAGATGTAGTTAAATTATCTGGAATGCATCACAGAAGAGAGAAAGAGGTAGAAAACCAATTTTGAAGGCCTAATGGATATCTAATTGGAATTCTGGAAATAAAAAATGAGAAAGGAACAATATTTGGAGAGATAACGGCTAAACATTTTCCAGAACTAGTGAAAGATATGCATATTGCAGTGAATCATAAGAAATCCTTACCTGTATGCATCCTACTGAAACTTTGGAGTACTAAAGACAAAGAAAAGATGTTAGATAGAACCCTGGTTGGGGAAGTACTCAAGCTTTCCTTGTTGACTTTTTTTTGAGTTGGGGTCTCTGTCTCCCAGGCTGGAGTGCAGTGAAGACAATATATAATGCATTTGATTGGAAACCCCCCAAAAAGTTCAAATAGATCATTAGTTTTATAAGCAAGTTTTCCAAAATCAATTACATTTCTATATATTGGCAGCTAGCAGAGTGTTTGATTATAGAAAAGATGCCCTTTACAGAGCATTAAAACATATGCTATACCTAGGGGTTAATCTAATAAGATATGTAAGACCTATTGTTAAAACATATAGAGATATAAAACGTTATTGAGAAAACACTTAAAAAATTAATGGAGATCCCTACATGTTCATGAATTAAAAGTCACAGTTTGGTAAAGATGTCAGTTCTCCCTAAAATTGATGTATAGATTTGAGGCAGGGTATTAGTTGTTTATTCTTTTTTGGAAATTTAACAAACTGATTCTGAAATTTATGTGGAATAGAAAAGAATAACCCTAAAGAATGGGAATGGGACTAGGGGTCTGTGTGTAACTTGTCCTAACCAGGTAATAAGAATGATTATCAGGAGGAAGTCCTTAAGAGAATGTTGGGTTGGCACAAAACAGAGAAGCCTGCAACAGGTCTCCTCTACATAGGAAACAATGTATGACCAAAGGATACTGCAGTTAAAGTAGAGGAGGACCAACTTCTCAATAAATAATGTTAGGACAAGTAGTTATTGCAAAGGAAGAAAGAAATTAGATTTTCACAATGTTCACAATTTCAGATCGGATTAAAGACTTAAGTATGAAAAGCAAAAGTGGAAATCTTTTAGAAGACTAAATTAGACAGTAATGTCAGTATGATGATGGTGTAAGGAAAGGGTTTTTAAAATTAGACACCAAAAACACAGACTATAAAGGTAAAAACTTATAAGTTTGACTTTGTTAAAACTAAAAATTTCCAAAAGACCATAAAGATATTGTGGGGCTTTTTTTTCCTGTAGCCCTTATCCATTAGAGAAATATTCTGAAGTATTTATGGGTGAAGTGATATATTGTCTTGGGTTTGCTTTGAAAGTACTCCAGGGGAAAAAAAACATGAAGAGAGAGATGAAACAAATGGTAGAATGTTGATAATTATCAAAGCTAGATGATGGGAACATGAAAGTGTGTGATACTATTTTGTTTTTTGTATGTGTTTGAATTTTTTATTTTAAAAAAGAGTTTTTGTTTTGTTTTTAAAGAACCCATCTGGAAATCTTCTAACATTTTTAAAAAAATCATTTTCTGGAATAATCATTTGTTAAGTGCATCTCTAAATGGGAGTGGGACTTTTCTTATAAATGAATAAATCATAAAATAATCTCTTTTAAAAAACACCAGCAAGAGAGTGAAGAGACAAATAACATCCTAGGTGATGATGTCTGTAATACATAGAACCAAGAAATTAATATCCAGATATTAAGCAAGGAACTTCTAAAATTCAATAAACAGCTTCTTAGATAGGACATCAAAAGCATAAGCAACAAAAGAAAAAAATGGACAGACTGGACATTATCAAAACTTAAAAATTTTGTGTTTCAAAGCGTACTTTCTAGGAAGTAAACTCTCAGAATTGAGAAATATTTACAAATCATGTATGTGAAAAGAACATGTATCTAGAAAATACACAAGAGAGAACTCTTACAATTCAGTAGAAAAAAGACAACTCAATTTTAAAGATGGGCAAATGATCTGAACAAACATTTTGCCAAAGAAGATGTACAAAACCAATAAGTTTCTAACAGTTTTTTTCACGCAGTTTAAACTGCTTAGTTTCCAGGGACTCAGCGTCTCGGTAATGTCCCTTTCCTTAACCTGGGCAGTGGTGGTGGTTGCGGGGGCTGGGGACTTGAGAAGGAGGCAAAGTCTTATCTGATGTCCCAACATCGAGAGAGGACTTAGGAAAACCCAAAAGCACACATGGAACCGTTTTTTTCACACAGTTTAAACTGCGAGTTTCCAGGAAAGATGGATATACTTAGCATCTTCTATTTGAGAAGCAAAAAAGATAAAATGAGTTTATCTAGGAAAAAGAAACTAAGAACTACACGAAGCAGCCGCAGCAGCAGCAAAGCAGGAGTGTTGTAGAAAGGCTTCCAACAAAAGTGGTTAAAATGTAGAGCTTTGCACGTGAAGGTGAACGCCATTTATTTGGGTCACCACTTCTTTGTTCTTCAGTGATGATCAATAAACCAGACGTTGCTGTAAGTGAAACCCCACGCTGTCATTTGTCACTAAGTGGTTGGCTTTCTCATTTCAGATCCTGCTCCCACTAAGAGATGAACCCCAGCCGCGCAGAAGAAGAGCTGCTCACCGGCCCTGAGTGCGACTGAGGGCCAAGCATCCTCCCACACTGTAGGGGTCCCCAAAGCCCTGACAAGTGGGTTGCCCATCAGCCAATCCCGACGTTCCCTGGGACAGCAGGACAGCAGACCCTCCGGGTTTTGACGGATCGGCAGTGGGCACATCGGGCTGGAGGGTCTGTCCCGTTGGCACTCGTGTGTGTGTCTGCGCCTTCCCTTGACCCCACCCCCCCGCTCAGGCCCTTCTGAACCTTCCTGCTACTGCACAGAGATGATATAAAGAGGCTCTTTGGCTATTTGCATTCGGCTTCCTCTTCTTTTCCAGACTGCAGCATGAAGCTTTATTTTCTTTGTGCAAGCTTAAAATCCCAACCACATTACCTACCTGCATTGCTCCGCCCTCATCCGAGGGCCAGGGAAAGGAGGGCACCTGTCACAGGCTTCCCAGAGAGGAGACGTGTGCCACAGACAACACGGCCAGGGTAAAGGCTCACTGTGAAATTACTGATTTCTAAGATTAATAAAGTAATTCTGTTTTTATTTTCTTTTTTCCACTTACTAATTTCCCAACAGCTAAGTTAATATTCACAAACAAGACTGAAATGGAACCAACTTCTCATTTTATTTTATTGCTGGACAATTTTTTAAACTTTATTCTAGAAATGTGAGCTATAAAGAAATGCTTTATTCTACATTTTGTTTCAGCGGTTGGGGGGAGGAAGCTGATGGGTGCGGATGTCACGCTCTCCTTGGCAGGTGGCTCGCCCAGCATGGCCTCCAGTGGCGGGCTCCGCAGGTACACATGCCTACAGAGGCCATGCCACACAGCCCCACGCCCGCCTCGTCCTGCTTGCCTGCTCCCTTGCCTTCTGGGTTCTCTCTGGCTCCTGCTGGAGAAGGGGTTGGACTCACAGCCTTCAGAGTTAATGAGGGAGAACCCAGAGTCTGGGCCTTCCACGTCCTCCAGACTCAGCGTGAAATCCCAAAAGGAAAGTGACACCCAGAAAGGCAGGAAGGGGGATGTGTCACCCCTTTAGTGAGTGAAAGCAGAGGGTGGGCACATTGACGACGCATTCTGTTTCTAGTGGAGGGCGAGGTCTGTGGGGTTGCAGGAGAGAGGCAAGAATGTGTTCCAGGTGTTCCCAGGATTCTGGAGAGGTCAGAGGACTGTCTCAACTGTGTGTTCACTAGGCTGTGAGCTGATGAGACAGATTAGAATTCATAGCAGAGTAATGGGAAGTAAGGGGTGTGGGAGGACTCACCACATAAGTTTTATGCAAAGGGGTAAGAGGGACAGGCCTAGTTAAAAGCATCTTAGACCAACCACAGTGCTTGGAATGTGAGAACCTCGTTCACTGATTCCACCCTGCCTCCACCCCATGCTACTTGAGCTTGGGACTCCAGAGCCCTCTTCACGCGTCCACGGGCTTCCAGACCATTTTCCTGGTACTGAACTTCTCTGGGTAATAAATCAGACACATCCTGTGAGCCCTCCCCCAGCAGAGGTAATGTTTCTGGTGTCACTCTTTACCCCAAAAGAAGTATGTATTTCTAAAGATGGACAGACAGTGGCTTGTTCCATAGTGCCCGTCATGGCAGGTGGAACGGGAGGCTGGACTGCAGTCCCCTGAGAATCTGTATCTGCTGCTTGGCCTAAGAGCAGGTTCTGACATTAAAAGAACATTTGAAATCAGTGTGTTCTGTTTTGTTTGGGATAATTTTTTTGATTTATTGTAGAGATGAGGGCTCACCAAGTTGCCCAGGCGGGTCTCGAACCTGCGAGCTCAGGCAGTTCACTCACCTCAGCCTCCCAAGACGTGGGATTACAGGCTGAGCCACCGAGCCCGGCTGGAAGTGTACATTTTAATAAACACTTGGGCGATTCACAGGCCCAGTGGATCTGAGAATGGCTGCCAAGGTGAGCAGATTCATACACTCACTGCAGCAGCCCATGGCTGCCAGACTGAGCGTGCCACAGCCCCCTCTGTGCCCGCTTACCCCAGGGTAAGGTGCAGCACGGGCCTGCTAGCCAGGGTTTTGGGATAGAACATAGCACCCTGTAGGACTGTGTAAGTAACCAGGTGCCACGTGGGCTGAAGACAGGGAGAAGCCCTTAGAAGTGGCTGGGTCTGGACAGAACAGGAAAGAAGTCTTGCTGACCAAGCTTGGGAGTTCAGTCTTAGAGAACTCCAGAAGGAACAAAGCACACACGTCCCTGCACACACATAGGCATGAACACATCGTGCGCATCCTTTCTTTTGCAAATGTTAGCCTCAGGTGGCCTTTGATGACCAGTGGTAAAGTGATCTCTCTAGAGAGACATGCTTCTCGGGAGCTGTGAGGTGGCCTCCAACTCTGCTCCTGTCCTGCAGATGGCCCGGCAGGATCCTGCACTGTTCTGGGATCCATGGCATCGGGCATTCTTGCCCTCTCCCATTCCTGAAGCCCTGAAGAGGCCCGCTGTCAAAAGGGGGCCCCTGGCTAGCTCTTTGAAGCTTGACCTGATGACAGAATTAGCCTCATCTTCTTAGGCCATTTGCCACTGTCAGTTTCTCTAATTCTCAAGTGACATGGGGGGTGAGATGAGGTTTCCCAAAATGGTTGGTAACATACACACCACCTTTTCATTTACAAGGACTTGCACCAGGGATTATGCGCATGGTTACATGGAGGTCAAAGGCATATGCTTGCTGCAAACCTGAGCCACTGCCTCTGTGTGTCTAAGAATAACGTTCTCTGCAAGGGAGGAGCACAGACAGCCATGCAGTCTTCACAGATGGCAGAAGTCGCACAGCGAGAAGCACTGCGTAGGGAGTCCACCTCAGCAATGTGTTGGATGATGGAGAGATCCCCTGCCTCAGATTCCACTGGCCTCTAGCTAGTAGATGTGGACATGGGCTTAAGGGGAACTAAGGATAGTTAATGAGTCAAGACATGTACCCTGGAATAAGGCTTTTACTGTTGTAGCAACAATCTTCCAGAAGATGAAGTCATCCAAGATTCCCCAAAAATATTTATTTATACAAAGATTTTGAGAGTAATATTTGTATTTGTCTTTATATCTCAGTCTATGTGTCTGGGGCCAAGTCACCGTGCGGCACGCGTGCAGCTGCCCCAAGTGCCTCACGCTGTAGCACCTGCTTCCAGGAACACCAAATGAACACATTTTCTTGGGGGAAGAGGGGAGAACCCATAATGCCCCGAGGCTGCATGGACCCACAATTCAGACATGTGCACCCTGACCTGGAAGGCGTCTAGCCAAATGTCCAAGGAGAAAGAAACATGGTCGACAGAGAGGAGGGACCCAGAGCACAGATAGGAGAGGGTTAATGCCCGCCCACCCTCTGCTTCTGAGTTCACGTGTCCAAAAGGCCCAATGGAGTCGATGGCCCTGAACGACACCTGGATTTTCTCCCTGTGGCGACCTACGATGCAAACTGATGTAGAGAGGACAATTTGTAAAACCAACCGATTTGCCCTTAATCCCAGGTAGTACGAGTATGCTGGGAGTCTGTCTTGGGGTAACCTAACTGAAAAAGATGCTTGCCTTGTGTAACGTAATCCAGATGCCCTCTAGCAGGTGTGGTACAGCAATGAGCAAATCTGACCTCAGACTGAAGTGTCTTCCAGCGGGCCCGGGCCCGGCCGTTCTCTGCCCTTCCTCCTCCCTCGGGTAGCCCCAATCCCATCGCCACACGACGTGTCCATGCGCCCTCCCTTTTCCTCTGTCGGCATCACAGAAAATCTGTGTTCTGGAGAGTGCGACCTTCTCCTAACCAAACCCACACTTTCTTTACCACAGTGATTCTCAGAGCCAGCAAGAAAGAGAAATGTTCCAGAAGGAAACCTCCATCTCAGCCATCTGCCTAGAGCCAAAGGTTGCGGGCTCCAGGCCTCTAGGTGAGGTCTGTTGCTTGCGTGTTTCCCGAGGTGCGGGCGGTCAGGCAGCGGCAGTTCTCTCTCCCCTTGCTCTGTCGCGGGAGGGTCTCAGCTGCACTTACAGGACTTCACCACCATGTTGGAGAGCTGCTCCACCTTGGGGGTCCTCCCGACATAGTACAGGATGGTCAGGGGCTCCAGGTCCTGGGGCACACAGCAGGGGGAGGCAGAAGCTTCCGGATTCATGGTGTTGTACATGCCCAGCACCTGGGGAGGGACAGTCATTTGGAGACTGGAAGGTCATGGTCCAGTAAAGGCCTGGAACCCAGGAACTCTACAGATTCTAGGGGCGGCCCGAGACTGAACAAGTGTGGAATGGCCTCATGCTACCAAAGAGGAGCTGCTTAGAGCCGGGCTCGGTGACTCAGCCTGTAATCCCGCGCCTTTGGGAGGCTGAGGTGAGTGGATTGCCTGACCCCGCGGGTTCGAGACCCGCCTGAGCAACTTGGTGAGACCTCATCTCTACAATAAATCAAAAAATCAGCCGGGCGTGGTAGCGCGCGCCTGTAGTTCCAGCTACCTGGAAGGCTGGGGCGGAAGGATCGCCGGAGCCCAGCAGGTCGAGGCTGCGGTGGCTGGGAGCAGTGACAGAGTGAGACTCCAACTCAAAAAAAAAAAAGGGGGCTGCTGGAACACAGTTTGGGTGAGTGACTCCTTGCTGTCCACTGCAGTGATGGGATGCAATGTGCAAGGGTGAAATGGACAGTGACCTTCTCTAAGAAAGCAGCCACCGCGTGGGTCTCCCTCCCTATAACTGATCACGTTGGTGAGAACAACTGTGCTTGCCTGAGTGTGGTCATCATACAACAGTTATCAGGGGACTTTGTATTGATAATGAGATTCTCTTGGCTGCTAAGACAGCAGCTCCAAAATCGGTCTTCCTATCTGTAACTGATCACTTGAGTGAGAAGTGTTCTTGCTAAACATTGCCTTGGGCCACTTGGTAAGCACAGGGCCCCAGACAGGATGCAGAAATAATGAGAATAAAGAAATAATAAATAATGAATAATGAAATAATGAGAAGAAAGAAACACACCTCACAAATGGCTGCCCTATTTTTGATTCCCCTGGAGGGAAAGACAAGCCAGTTTCAGAGGCTGTGGACTCTCCCACTGCCCACTTTCTCTTCCCAACATTCCATATTGGCTTCTTCTATGAGTTTTTTGTCGTCTTTTGGGAGTTTTCTACATGTAAGAGGCTGGATTATCGGCGTCCCCTACTCATGGCAGGCGCCATTCTGCCCCAGGATTCTGTACCAGCCATGGGCACCCACCTCTGACACACAGGGTATCATGTGGCAGTCAGTTAACTGCCATGGTACAAAAAGCTTTAGGCAAAGCAAATAAAAAGCCTGGTTGGAACTATGGGAGGAATTTGAAAGGGCAGAATGTGGCCGAGACAAGACCATCATCACTCGCTCATTCAACACGCAGTACTTCATTCATTCTTTTTTAGCATTGGCCTGACCGGCTCAGGCCCAATGCCTCAATTGCATGAGCCCCGCTCCGTACCGTGGTATGGGTCGTGTCTCCACTGCGGAGGTATGGGCAGGGGCCTGAGCAGAAGTTGGCATAGTAGCCCTTCGGTTCGTGCACCCACTTCCAGCCCAGATCCTGGCGGAAGTCGATGTAGAGGGGCCGCACACAGCAGTTCTCCTCCAAGTTGCTACAACAAAAAACACATATGGAAAGTCAACTTGAAACCACCCCTGAAAGAAACTTCACACACACTCTCCTGTTCTCCCCTGTAGTCCTTTCATGCCATCACAGGAGGTGCTTTGACTCATGGAATCCCTGGTGGAAGAAAGAGAGGCATTTTCCTGTATTGAAGACCAGGACCCTAACGACACAGTCGGTGGCTACAACTGCTGCGTGAGGAAGTGTCAAGGGGCAAAGATGGCCCTGCCGCTTTACTAAATGCCACTCACCAACTCAGCTGTATAGAGAGGCTGGTTTCGTTACCTCCTAATAGGCGCCCAACTCGGCATCGACTCTACACTCATGCAGCCTGTATGCTGTAGTCGATGGCTGCTTAGACTAAGTCTAGAGCTGTTCAGCTAAACAAGACATATCCTTCTAGAGAACCATGATCCCCAGGTCACCCAAAGGTGATGATCAGACCCTTCAATCCTGCTGCCTGCAGAAATAACCCTGGTAGCACCCTTTGCCAAGTGGCCATCTAGCCTCTGCTTCCATACCTGATGTCCAAAGGCAACTATCGGCCACAGTCTGGCCTCTTGTGGGTTCCCAGGGTGAACCACAGCAGACACTATTGGCTGCCAATTCATAACCACTCCCAACGCCTTTGTCCCTGGCCTCCTCCCGTTACAGAATTTAATGTACCTGATACCCATTTTCCTGGGCTCTCTTGTGGTAGAGGTGGTCACGTGACCCAACAATGATCATTCAGGTAGAATTATGCGGGGGTGAGAGCAAGTTCTGGCAAAGCTACGTGATTATTTATCAGTAACAGATGGAAGAAGAAAGCTCCTGGCTCTCCCCCTCCCCCCCGTTCTTCATCATGGACAGGATACCTGGAGCTCTAGCAGTCGCCAGTGACTCCAAGCAAGAGCATGAAAAGCCAACATACTAAGCAACACTACGACTGGAAAGAGAACGCCTGTGTCCTCAGTGGCCTAATTGCGCAGCCGCCCGACCCCAAGTCTGTTGCTACAGGCCTCTTGTGGACAAGAGATCCCTGCCGGTTTAGGGCACTGCGCTCACAGTCAGGAGCACTCATTTCTGGCCGACAGCGACACAGAGCAAGCTGCGTGCCCGCCTCTGGACAGTTGGCAGCCTGACACTGCCTCTCCTGTGCCTTCCAACCTCATTATCCCCAGCCTAATCCTCACAGAACATGCTTTCTAGGTCTAAGGACTCCCCGTTCACTCTCGCCAGCTCCACTCGGGCCCCCTCTGCAGCCCAAAACATCCACTCATGTTCTCTCTACCCGAAGTGCCTGAAAGTGGGAGGAGCCAGAAGGGCATCTTCCTTCATTCCTTCATCCCCCAAACCCACTCATCCTTCAAGGCTCTGCTCGAATTTCACACCCTTCTGAAGCCTTTCCTGTGCCTGCTGTGGATGAACGCCTTGTCCCAATTCCTTTTTTTTTTTCAGAGACAAGGTCTCGCTCTGTCACCCAGGCTAACATGCAATGGTATGATCGTAGTTCACTGCATCCTAAAACTCCTGGGCTCAAGTGATCTACTGGCCTTGGCCCTCCTGAGTAACTGGGACCACAGTCATGATTTTTTTTTTTTTTTTTCAGTTGGAGTCTCCATCGCCCAGGCTGGAGTGCAATGGCACGCTCACAGCCACCCCGACATCAACCTGCTGGGTTCTGGCGGTCCTTCCACCTCAACCTTCCAGTAGCTGGAACTACAGGTGCACGCCACCATGCCCAGCTAATATTTTTTGATTTATTGTAGAGACAAGGTCTCACCATGTTGTCCAGGCTGATCTTGAACCCGTGGGCTCAGGCAATCCTCTTGCCTCGGCCTCCCACAGCGCTGGGATTACAGACTTGAGCCACTGTGCCTGGCTGGCTAATTTTTTAATTTAATTTAATTTGTGTAAACACGGGGTCTCGCTATATTGCCCAGGTTGGTCTCAAACTTCTGGCCTCAAGTGATCCTCCCAACTATGCCTCCCAGAGCACTGGGATTACAGGTGCGTGCCATCATGCCCAGCTAATTTTTTGTTTTTATTTTTTGCAGAGATGGAATGTCACTATGTTATCCTGTCTGACTTGCTCCCAATTCCCAAAGCACTTAATCCCTCAAACTCACTCAAGGATGTGATCATTTTCTACCTTTTAGTAACTGGTAAAGGGAAGAAGCTGTGTCTTTTCTCTGTGTCTCGGCTACCCAATTATTTCTGAAGTAGCTACAGTATCTAGTAAAGAAACTGCCCTGTTTCCCCTGTAGCATCCTCGGGTCCTTCATGGGGAACTAAGCATTTCTTTCATGGAATCACCTGCATTAATCTCGCTCACATAGACACACCCTGCAAGTACTTGCAGCGTGAAAGCCATGGGGAGGCTCCAGTCATGTGTCTCCAGTCCAAACTACTCTAGCCACACTCTCTCCTCTTGGAATTCTCACTTCCTTCATCCAGCCCCTACACAGCTGGGCTGCAGGAAAGCAGCAGGACCCTCAGGAACCAGAGCTGGAAGAGAGTTTCCGTCGTCTTTCTGGGATGCCTGTGAGCAGCATGAGGGACGCTCCCCTGAGCACGGCCCCAGTCTGGGCCGGGCTCCCGGAGGCACATGGCGGATGGAGGTGCCCACGTGGGCCCAGGCTCACCGGAAGCAATAATTGGTGTCCAGGGCCCGCTTCTTCCTCTGCGCCCCCTGGCCCGGGCTGTCAAGCCGGTGCGGGGGGATCATCATGAGGATTAGGTGAGGGTTGTGGTGGTCCTTCTGCTTCTTAAGGCGCCCCAGATCGCCACGGCCATGATCATCCTCGTTGTCCACACCTGCGGGGAAGACGATGGCCTCCTGTCTGAGGAGAGTGGGGCCCCTGGAGGCTGCCTCCCATCCCGTGTGCCCAGGAGGGGAGCCAGGTGAAGAACCAGTGTCAGAAGAACTCATTACCACAATCAGGATACCACGAAAGTGACCACATTCGGATCCGCTCATGACACCCTGGTGGAAATCCTCCTAAGGGCAGAACGGCCCCTCCCGAGATGCTTCTTGGACATCCTCACAGACCCATGAGGCGTCCCGGTCACCAGGCAGCACCTGACACATGCCTTTGGGTGGCCAGCTTTGATTCTAGGTTTTGTTTTGTTTTTTTGAGTTGGAGTCTCACTCCGTCGCCCAGACTGGAGTGCAGTGGCCGCTCCCGGCCACCGCAGCCTCGACCTGCTGGGCTCCGCTGATCCTTCCGCCTCAGCCTTCCGAGTAGCCGGAATTACAGGCGCGCGCTACCACGCCCGGCTGATATTTTGATTTATTGTAGAGATGAGGTCTCACCAAGTTGTCCAGGGTCTCGAACCCGCGGGCTCAGGCAATCCACTCACCTCAGCCTCCCAAGGGCGCGGGGTTACAGGCTGAGCCACGGAGCCTGGCTGATTCTAGATTTAAAACCTTGGGTGGGAGTGTCCTCTTTTCACCTGAATTGGCCAAGACATGCAGAAGTCCTGACGGTAACTTAAGGTGTCCCTGAACGGGAGCCAAAGACACAAGGGCAGGGTGGCTAACAGTCACATGGCACTTAACGTGTCAGAATGTTTTCACTATAAAATCCTGATGAGCTGATGATAAACAGCTCAGCAGGCAAGCTCCGGAAACCTGACTCCAGCTGAACCTACTTTATCTGAAAAGGGAAAGACTGACTTGAAAGAGTCTCAGCTACATGGGGACAGATTTTGTAGACAGCAGTTACCAGCTGGGTGAAGCATCATTTACAGAGGCCTGGGAGGGTCCTGGGTCTGAGGGAGAGGCACGAGATCTGTCATACAAAGGGGAGACCTGGGTCTCAGTTCCCTTTTCTGAATATCTTTATGCACAAGAGAAGTATTTACTGGAGTCTGGAGGCATCACCGTAACCTGGCCTGCAGGAAAAGACTCTGAAGGTCTTCTCGTCTCTGATCAAGATGCCAAATCCCTAGCTTAAAAAAAAAAGACTCTGAAATAGAGCCCATGCAGGGGGAAAGGACTGCCCAGGGCCAGGGACCAAGAAAAGCCTGCAGCTTTTCCCAGACAAGCCTCTGACCCAGGCATCCCTCAGTCACCCCAAATGGGAATATGAAAGGAAGAGAGAACTTTCCTGAACTCCAGAGACTGTCAAGGCCAAGTTCCTTGGGAATACATTGAAAAACCAAAAGTGACTCTCAATGCTTCGCCATCTCTACGCAAACACCCTGAGCCTTAAAGCAGTTATCCAAACCCTGACGACTCCTAGGCAGGGGTCATGCGGGCCTGGACATCTGGAAAGCCTGACGGTCAGGGTACTCCTGTTCAGGACTGCCAACGATTGCTTCTCTTGGGAAAGGGAAGACAGCTGATTTATTGGGCATTTCTAGCACTGTGTTTTTCATCTGTTACCCTATTTCACGGTATGAGGACCCCACGAGAGAAGGACTCTCATCTCCATTTCTCTGGGCTCAGAGAGGCCGGTAGACCCACACCCCACCACTCTCCGGCATCCCACCGTCTTCCAGATGGGGACGCATGCTCTGTGGCCACATGCGGAAAGTCACGCTCACTGCTTCAGGCAAAGCAGAATGACCCACGTACTGCTGCATCTCTGTGAAGGAGCCTTGTTCCTTTTCTTAGGGTCAGGTGGGGGACTCCCGTCCTGTCCCGTTGACTCTCCCAGCCATCCTCCCACACACTCATTCTGTTACCTTTGAACTTGATTTCCATCACCTCGTGAATGTTTTCCAGGATGTCTCCATTGGGCTGAAACGTGTGGCAGGGGCAGTGGATGCTGATCTCCAGACCTAAGTTGGACTCTGCAAAAATGAGGCAGAGTGAGTGAGAAAAGCTCTCCTGTGACAGGGAGCTGTGCCCACCCCTCACGCAAGGGTGAGCCAGGCCTCTGCTCCACAACTCCTAGGAGCCCAGTGGTTCTGAGGGTCACGGGACAGAAAGAGCCTCCAGAGGGGACTGCCACGCACATGTCGCCACACTCCGCCTGTTACATGATGGAAACCAAATGGGGCGTCTACTCTGGGCATCGTGGAGGAGAGCGGGAACAGTCGCCATTCAAAGGACGGTGCTAAGAGGAGACCGTCGCCTGCCTGCTAAAGGACAAGGGCACAGGAAGGAAAGAAAAATCGCACGCGTCCCAGGTGTTGGGAGAGGAGGTATTAGCGCCATCTGAAGGCGGGCAGAGGAAGAGGCAGGGGCTGGAAGGGACTAGGGAGAGGAGGAACTGAGAACCTCAGAGCAGGGAGACGGTGGGCTCAAAGGCCACCAAGTCAAAGGCCACAAGACGGAGGCCTGGCAAAAGGACTCAAGGCAGGAGTCCATGCCAGAGGCAAGGCCGCCTGCAAACAAGACACGGAAGAGTCCAGACGTGGAACAGTCGAGACGTGACTTTCTACCAGGGCCGTGGAGATGGAGAAAGTGACAGATTCCAGGGGAGAGAAGAGGAAGATCAGGGTTACGCATGGCCGTGTTTTCTTAAGGAACGCGGACATGGTGAGGTCAGTATACTTAGATGTTTGTTCTTTCAGAACCCGTGTTCACTGTGATAGGAAGTTGGCATGTGGACGGCTCCAAAATGAGCAGCTCGGGAAGATATCTGTGGGCTTAGAACATGGCCCAGAGGAGATGGCAGAGGCTGTGGCCACAGGCCCAGATGACATGAGCTCGGATAGAGTGAGCATGGGGTTTGTTGACTGACATTGAATACATCAAGGCCAACTCCGGCCCCTCTTCCTAGTATGTGAGGAATCCTGTGTTTTATCAACCAAAGTCAAGGAAGTCAGGTAATCAGTAAATGGGGTGAGTGAAGTGGAGGAAAAAATAGAAAAATAAAAAGTAAATGAAAGGTTGGCACTGAAACAAGTTTTATGCAGGGAAAACCGGGTAGGGCCTGGTGTCATGTCTGCTCTGGTGGGTGACTCCTTCAGGGAAGCTCTGGTGATCCTGCAGCCAGCTGCAGCCAGGTGCAAGAGGGGTCATGGGATGGGCCCTGTGGGTTCAGGGCCAGCCTCTCGCGAGCTGATTGGTCTACGGCTTCCTGAGGGCACACGCACCATGAGTGAGCATCTGGCCCTGGGGCCAACCCCGTGTCTCCCTGAAATCTGGTGTCATCAGGGAAGGCCCCAAAGCGTCCAGCCCGGCTCAGCACCTTCTCACGTCTGGATGGGACAAACCCAGAGGCCCGGGCACTGTCAGGCAGGCCCAGATATCCTGGTCCTACGGGTTAGAAATCAGTTCCTTTCTTCCCTAAGTCCCAGAGCCCTGTCAGATCTGTTCTGCCCCAAGCCAGGGCCACCTCTGGGACACACTGACGCCTGCTGAGCTCAAAGAATCCGTTCCAGAAGGCTGGCTCAGTGGGGAAGGCTGACTACTCTAACCAGGCAGCTGAGCCGCAGCTAGAGAAGACGCGAAGAGAGAGGGAGGCCTGAGGTATGTCCTCTTCCTGGCTTGAGGCAGCAGGAAGAAGGGGTCGGAGGAGCTGAGATGGCTACCGAGCAGCCACACAGTATACTTCCCATTCACAGTGCTTCAGCGAGCCTGGGCAACACAGCGAGACCCTGTCTCTACCAAAAATTTCAAAAATTATCAGGCATAGTGGCGCAGGCCTCAAATCCCATTCACTTATGAGGCTGAGGTGGGAGGATGACTTGAGCCCAGGAGGTTGAGGCTGCCATGAGCTATGATCACACTGCTACACTCCAGCCTGGACACAGAGCAATAACCTGTCTCTTAAAAAAAAAAGTTTTAATAGGTGCTTCCCAGTTGGCTGGTAGAGACCTGGAGTGAGTGAGTCCCGTGTTTCTGTGAGTTAGAAAGTCAAGGTGCAGACAGATGTGTTGGGAGAGGGAGGACTGAGGTACAGGTGGCAAGCATGTGAGGTGGCTCAGCCCAGCCTATCTAAATAGAGGGCTCAGAAGGGACAGCAGTCACCAGCATCTGTTGACAATACTACCCAGCCAGCACTGCTCAGAGACTGCACACGCATGACCTCTATAATAATCCTAAAAAGGAAGAGCTGTTATGGTCCCCATTGTACAGATGAGGACATTGAGGTGCGCGGAAATTAAATGGCTTCCCAAGGCATCCGACCAATAGGTGGGGATGCCAGCATCAAACACAGCCAGCTGATGCCAGCTCCCACACTCTTCACTGTCAGGGACGAGGAAGGACAAAGAGGGGGAGCGGAGGCCCCAAGGAAGATGCCCACACAGGCACTGAGGCGCAGAATGGCTGTGCCTCCCGGGCGTCCCGCTGGTCCCGAGCCATGATGACTGCCGGGGGTGCTGGATAGGAGCTGCAGAGTGAGCAACAGCACCAGGGCAGGCAGGTCCAAGTCCCTGTGACCTGGACGGGGCTCCAGCCAGCTCTGGGTCCCAGAATGCAGCCTGGGCACCTGGTGCACACAGGCTCTCGGATGTTTGCTGAGTGAATCCAAGACCACGGGGGTGACTCGGTTTCCTCATCTGTCCACACCACCACCGGCTTGTTCGGAGTCTTTGCTGCCTGGGGAAAGGCAGGTCCCTCTGCAGGGCCTCAGGAACTCTGCCCAAGTAGAAGCCTGTGCTAGATCCCCTGTGGGAGGGGTGGGCAGTCCTGCCTAAGTGGGAACTGAGGGTTCCAGTGAAGAACTAACCTCAGAATTGGCAGCCGTGGGGGCGGTGGGCGGAGGACCCATAGGTTTTATTACGAAATGATCTTTTTGATGTCTCAGGAGAATGGAAATCATTCTCAATGCAAACTTCTCATTGAGTTCTGCAGCTGTGAAAATAAGAACGCCTTCAAGTGCCCAGGGCTTCAAAGCCATCCAGGTGGAGCTGATCAAAATCAGACAGGGAAGCTACGAGATGAATTTCCCAGTCCCGCCCTTCTGCAGCCATGGCGGAGCGCCGACTGAGTCAGAATTCCCAGCGGTGCGGCTGCCGGCGTGTCCCCATGGGCTGTCCTAGGCTTCTCCCCATATGATCAGCAACAGGGACAGGAGGGAAGTCCTGGGTGCCCCTGGGACCGGGGAAGGCTTCAGCCCACCCACTGCCAACTCAGCCACCAGACAATGCTCTCGGACGGAGGTTCGCAAACTCAGACACCCACAGAGCCCAGGCAGGTCACGTGGGTAAGCGCATCCAGCCAGCATGGGACCACCAGCCTCACTCCGGGACCAGTGAGGAATGGGGGGGCTCCGGGACTGAGGATGCAGGCCCCATCTTCAGGTGGCCAGGACTCATTGTGGTGAGCGGTTATCAGGAAACCTCCCAGCTTTTCAAGAAAAGCCAGAAGTCCAGGTTTTATGTGAAATCTCCTGACTGAAAAAAAAAAGACTGTTGGCCGCTGGTTAAACTGAAAACAGCACACAGGCCAAGCAGTTGAGACCAGCGCCTTGGAGGTCTAACCTACCCAGACGTCTAGGGCACTGAGCACCGGGAAGCAGGCACCTGCCTGGGGGCCTCTGGGCACTAACATGTGTTTGGACTGTGCTTCATAGCAGTGGATGACAGGAGAGGGCGAGGAGGAACAGAGGGAACTGCCTCGTGTGACCTCAGCCCGCCTATCAGTCACAGAAATGGAGAGGCACAGAGCACGTGTCAGGAGACACCAAAGTCTAATCCACACTGGATGGCCTTGGACGGGACACTGAATTCCCCTGGGCCTCAGTTTCCCCATGTGATGTAATAAAAGCCACGAAGCTCTCTCAAACACATCTGACCCTTCCGACCACTCTGGGAGGCACGTGGGCGGACCCATCCCCTATTTCCGGGTGGGGAAACAGAGCATGTGGGTGAGATGCCTGGGACGTGGAGTCTGACAGGCCTATGGGATGGCTCCGCTTGGGTGACTGCCAAGCCCTTCTCACTTAACTGGCAGGACCAACATGTCCTTCTTCAGGTCCTCGCTGTTTCAACAAGCGATGCCATCTGGATGCTTAGACCACAGATCTAAAAGTCATCGGGACTCCCCGTGTGGCCTCCCACCCCAGACCTGTTCAGACTGTGCTGTCAGCTCTTCCTCCAAAACACAGAACAAATCCACGTGACCCCGATGGCCGTCACGCCTGCCCCAGGCTGAGCCCCTGCTGCTCTTATTGGACTGCTGCACAGTCCGGCTGGCTTCCTGTTTCTTCTTGTGACCGCATGGCAATCAGAAGGGTCTTTTCCTTTTTTGTTTTTTGTAGACATGGGGTCTCACTGTGTTGCCCAGGCTGGTCTCAAACTCCTGACCTCAAGCAATCCTCCCACCCCAGCCTTCCAAAGTGCTGGGACTACAAGTGTAAGCCTCTGCACTGGCCCAGAGGGGTCTTTTAAGATGTAAACTGCCCAGGCTCGGTGACTCAGCCTGTAATCCCAGCACTTTGGGAGGCCGAGGCGGGTGGATTGCCTGAGCCTGCAGGTTCGAGACCGGCCCGGACAACTTGGCGAGACCTCGTCTCTACAATAAAATAAAATTTTAAAAATAGCCAGGCGTGGTAGTGCGCATCAGTAGTTCCGGCTACTTGGAAGGCTGAGGTGGAAGGATTGCCGGAGCCCAGCAGGTTGACACTGAGGTGGCCGTGAGCGTACCACTGCACTCCAGCCTGGGCAAGGGAGTGAGACTCCAACTCAATAAATAAATAAATAGGATATAAACCAAGTCGCCTCACCCATATCCCTAGCCCTGCTTCCAGCCCTCCCATCTGGCTTCCCATCTCACCTAGACTGAGTCCTAGCCTCACCATGGCCTGACAGGCGCTAAATCATGCGGCTCCAGCATCCTCTCTGAGCTCCTCAGCTCACTACACTCCCACCACCCTGTTTGCTGCAAGAATCCAGCAAACCCCTGGGCCTGGGCCTCGCTGTTTGCTTAGGACAGCCTTCAGCCTGACCTTCAGGACTAGCTAACTCCTGACCACTCAGACCTCAGTGCCTCAGCTCCCTTGTCTGAGAGACCTTCCATGAGTGGCCAGTGTTGGCGCCCGTCAGGCATTACCCTCTTCCTACTCTTCAGAGCACTTGTCACTGTCACCGTACGTCTCCTTGTTTGTGAGGTGTCTCGCCAGCAGGGCAGAAGCCCCATGAGATCTGCAACCTCACCTGTGTGTTCAAGGCCAAGTCCCAGGCCTGGCCAAGAGTGGGCATTCCATCACTATTAGCTGAGTGTATGAACGGAGGAGCTGCAGTACCACAGCTACCCCCAAACCCCAGTCTATGACTCCTCTCATTCTGCCTTCCTCCCTGTTTCTTGAAAGATCAAGGGACCTGAGGTTCCTCCTGAAATGCTTCGACTGAAGCCGGGCACAATGGCTCATTCCTATAATCCAGCACTTTGACATGCCGAGGTTGGAGGATTACTTGAGCCCAGGAGTTGAAGACCAGCCTAGGCAACCCATCAAGATCTCATCTCTACCAAAAAAAAAAAAAAAAAAATAGCCAAGCATGGTGGTGTACACCTGTAGTCCTGGCTACTTGGGAGTCTGAGGTGGGAGGACCACCTGAGCCGTGATTATGCCACGGCACACCAACCTGGACGACAGAGGGAGACCCTGACTCACAAAAAAGAAAGACATACTCCCCCTGGAGGTCCACCTACCTCTTCTCAATAGCCACTCACGCACGGTGTCAGTGACATCAAAAGAGAGCCACTCGGCGGTGCCCCGCGTGGGCAGATTCTTGCCACCGATATAGCGCTGCTTGGCAATGTGCTCATCTGGCCGAAGTATCTACAGGGCAGAGAGAGCAGTGAGTACCCGAGGCCAGGACAGAGTGGCACAGATAGGCTACACCGCAGGGGCACAGGCAGGGGACAACGGAAACCCAGAGGTGACGACCCTGCGTACCTTAGGTAATGCTAATGGCAGTCACAGATACAGAAACCGAGGCTCTGAGAAGCCCAGCTTCCAGTCAGGTCTGCAGTGCTCTGCCCAGTGGAGACCGCCTCTGTCAAGGACACTGGCTTTCCCACTTCCGTGTGGGGCTTACCTGGAAGAGCTCCACCCTCTGCTCGTGGTGCTTGGAGCTGGGGTTAGGCACCCGCAGGACCCGGAATTCTGCTCGGAACAGGTTGGTTCCATTTTTCTCCACAGAGGACACGTTGAAGCGGAAAACCTTGGAGGTGATTCCTTTGGGGCAGAAGGCCAGCTCGTCTAGGAGGCAAAGCGGTGGGCAAGGCTCAGGAGGGACCTTGAGACCCATAGGAACCGGGGGCCACCAGTGACATATACCTGGTGTCCCCTGGGACCCTCTCGAGGCTCGAGGCCTCAGCCCTAAAGGTGAGACAGGAGGGAGATTCCTGGTGGCCCCAGAGTCACACACAGTCCTGAGCGAAGAGCAGTGAGGCTGCAGGGTCCAGGATGTGGCACTGGAGACCGGTCAGTCAAATGTCACTGTCCCTCTTCCCACGGATTTGGTGAACCAATGCCGACAAGCTCTCCAGCCCGCTTTTCGTGCTCTTTTAGAAAACAGAGATACGCGGCTGGGCTCGGTGGCTCAGCCTGTAATCCTAGGATTTGGGAGGCTGAGGTGAGTGGATGGCCTGAGCCCGCGGATTCGAGACCAGCCCGGGCAACTTGGAGAGACCTCATCTCTACAATAAATCAAAAATTAGCCGGGCATGGTAGCACGTGCCTGTAGTTCTGGCTACTTGGAAGGCTGAGGCGAAAGGATTGTCGGAGCCCAGCAGGTCGAGGCTGGAATGGCTGTGAGTATGCCATGGCCCTCCAGCATGGGCGACGGAGTGAGACTCCAATTCAAAAAAAAGAAAAAAGAAAATAGAGATTCTTAAAAGATATCAGTAATCTCTGTCACTTACGTATCTTGTAGCTAGAGGGTCCATGCCCATGTTTGCTCATCAGGATATTTGTTTATTTGTCAGACGTGTTGAGTAGATGCCATGTGCCAAGCACGGTGCGACACCGGCCAGCAGAGAGTGCGTAGACACAGCCCCTGTCTTCAAGGGGAGTGATGTCAGGGGAGGCTATGAACACAGGGACCCAATGATAGGACCTAGAGAAAGGGTCTTGGTTGAAGCCCAGGAGGTGCTGCAGGAACCCTGAGGAGGGGGCAGGTGAGGTTGATTCTGCAGAGGAGAGGTGTGAGAAAGGGGACAGAGAGGCTGCTGGCTTCCAGAGGCAGGGAGGAGGTACATGTGAGCAGGAGGGGTCCAAGCAGCCAGCTGGCAGCAAGACAGGGCAAGACAGAAGGCCATGGGCCACCAGAGGAGGCCCACGTGTCAGACTGAGGGTTAAATGTATCCTGTTAGCAGCAGGAGCTACGGGACATTTCTGATCAACCCTGGTTTAGACCGGACAGGGCAGGGTGGGCATGGCAGAGCCCCCACCCTGAGGCCAGCAGCCATGCCAATGCTTCTTCAGCCCCACTGATCAGTCACCCGGACCCCTTTCTCTCTCAGGGTCTCTCCTGGACAGCATGTGCCACGCCAGCCCCTGCCACCTGCTCGTCTCTGCCTCCCTGTGTACAAGACAGAGGCAGCAGAAGGACCCACAGGCGAAGGACCTGGCTTCTCTGCTCCTGTGCACTTGACAGCGGTGTCTGAGCAGCATTCAGACCCAGGGAACAACTTTCAGCACAAATGGCAACAAGAGCCAGAACTTGAAATTCAAGAATGCAGACCATACTCTGTGCATAAGGAACATGGCTGGAGTGAGCGTGCCATCACCCCAGGGTGTTGAAGAAGTCCCAGGCATGGCAGGAAGGACTAGAGGTCTGGAAGCCAGCAAATGCACTAGTGGGCTCCAGGAGAGGATGAGTGAATATTTCTGGAAGTTGCCATCTACTGGGCCTGACACTGGTTCTTAGGAAATGAATGGGCAGATGTTGGAAGAAAAGTGTGTGGACGCTGGCTCACGAGGCCCCGATTCATAACTGGTTCTGGATTCATAACACCTTTGGACAGAAGCAGGGAGGGATCATGACAGCCACTCCGTGTAGAAGTCTACACGTGTGAAACCCTCTGGATGTGGACGGGCTGCTTGCACTGGCAACCCCTCGAGGGCTGATGGAGCTGGTCTTCGTGTAGCTGTCACCAGTACAGCTTCCATTGCAAGAGCACCTCCAGCAATAGCAAGAGGAGAGGGTCGGTCCATGCCATGCAACGGGCTCCTTCCTGGGACGAGGAGAAGTGGAATGGAGAATGCACCCGCCAGGGAGAGTGAAGGCAGGGTCCAGGTGGTGGCAGGCTGGGAGATGGGAACGTGTGAGCGCAGAGTCCTCAGGACACCCAAGGAAGCATCCTCCTTGGCTTCTTCTAGCCCATCGGTCATCATTTTTGTTTTCTGAGAAACAAGCTCTCACCCAGGCTGGATTGCAGTGGTGTGACCATAACTCACTGCAGCCTCCAACTCATGGGCTCAAGCGATCCTTGTGCCTCAGCCTCTTGAGAGTTGGGATTATGGGAGTGTGCCACCACACTGGCTAACTTTTTTCTTGTAGAGGCAGGGTCTCTCCATGGTGCCCAGGCTGGTCTCGAACTGCTGGCCTCAAGCGATCCTCCTGCCCCAGCCTCCCAAAGCATTGGGATTATAGGCATGAGCCGTACACCCGGCCTTCAGCCTATCAGTCACATATCTGTTCCCCAAGAGGAACTCTTCCTGGTAGGAATTTTAAGGAGATCTGAAGAAGGAGGTAGGAACAATCATTTTCTACTACCGGGATCTACAAATTTTTCAATGAGTTAGAAGGGACGCTGAAAGGAAGAAATCGATGTCCAGAGAGGGTCTTGGCCTGAGTCATATGTGAATTTGCTGACATGAGCAACTTGATGCTAGCAAGTAAAGCTCAAACACAAGAACTAGTGGCTAAAAAAGTATTGCTTGGGAGAGAAAAGAGTCAATATAATTTTGACAATTAAATCTGCCGACTAATAATGATGTTTTAAGTCATCTGAGGAATGAATCAGAGTGTAAACAAATAGACAAAATGGAGTGGCACTTTCTTGCGTGTTATAGGCTTTCATGAACTCATCTCACCCCCTGGAGCCCCTCAAGGAGACAAGAACATGTAAAATGAGAAGAGTGCAGTGGCTTCCCCAGGGTCACTTAGCGAGTAGGTGGCAGAGCTGGGATTTGAACCCTGGTCTTCTGACCACACCTCAGTCATTAAAGCAGGGGCTCTAGAGGCTGGGAGGCACCTGGGAGAATCCGCTAGTGGAGGTGGTTTCATCCACAAAACTTGGCAGGATTCCACAAATGGGCCCAGAGTCCCACCCTTTTCTCCAACAAGGGCCAGTACCAGGCACTTCCGAGGGCCGGAAGCCTGCCTTTGCAGAAGTATCACTGAGAGCTGGACGGTGGTTCCCACCTTTACAAAATAAATCATGACCAACCTTTTCCACTGCACAGAAAAATATATATTGATGAATGCCATTTTCTCTATGTTGCTTTAGGGAAGCAAAGTTTTGCTCTAGGGGCAAAAAACAAGCAAAGAATATATTCGCGTGGAGTATTCATGGAAAACCCAGGAAAAAGCTGACCACGTTTAGTTAGCTGCCTTTTAAAATGTTTTCGGACACCTGGGCTGCTGGAGTGCCTTTGCTCACACACATCACTTCTGCTGGTTCCAGTGACGGGCCTGATACACCAGTGGGGCTGCACTTTCCCACTCTGGCTGTGTACTAGACTCACCTGGAGAGCTTTAAAAATAGATGGTGCCTGGAGCCACTCCCCAGCGACTCTGCCCACACTGGGGGGAGTGGGGTCCACAACATTTTAAGATCTCCAGATGCAGTCAGGGTTGAGAACCACTGTTTACAATGTTCTGCAAAGGCAACCATGGTTTCCAGATGTTCTGGAAGTTTGAGAAGCCACTGCTGTCACGGTTTAAACTTTCACTGGCTTAGACACTTGCCTAGCCAATGCTTCATCTTTAAACATTTTGAATTAGAATGCCGTTTGCATTTTAAGCCCTTGTTAAAAGATGGAAGATTTCACAGAAAGATCCAGATTTTCTGCTCTTCTGGGAAGTGGTAAGGTGTAGTCAAGCTGGACCCACATTCCTGAACACAAAACTCAGCAGGAGCTGAGGGCGGTGCCTCTTTTACAGGGCACAGGGGCCGGGGTTCCCTCCCAACCCCTGCCACACACCCTCTTTTCCGCGTGACCCCAAGGCCACGTGTCCTGTGCAGTTTGTCATAGTGCCTGTTCCATGGCTTTTCTTCTCTGTCATCTGCATTTCCTGCCTGAGCTCTGCAGGAACCTGTGTCTGCAATCCTCTCAGGAAAGGTCTTGCCCTGTTCACTGAGTCTCAAGCTTCAGTGTGCTTAGGGATCCACAAGGAGCTTGTTGAAAACCCAGACTCCCCGGACCCTACACTGTAAGGGCAGGCAGGGCCTGGGATCCCACACTTCCACGGACCACACTTGGAGAAGCACTGACCTCCACTGTGCGGAGGACACTGGCCCTTAGGACAATGATGTTCAGGACGACCAAAATCTACATTTCACAGACAGAAAAGAAAGGTTAAAATATGCAGTTTTCTATGTGCTCAGGAACGCTGGGTGTGTGGTGCCTCTGTTGCCTGAGAACATAATTCTCCAACATAGAAAAGCATGAGCCAGAAGGGAAAGCCACACTGCACTGGTGCTCTCCTGGGAAGAGGGTGACAAAGGAGGAAGCTGTGTCCTTCCCCTCAAGTGGGACAGAGAGAGTCTCTACCCACTTCCCAAAGCAAAGTCCTGGAGAATGACAGAGGGGCTTGCAAAGTCTTCTCGACCTCCCAGCAGAAACCCTGGGGAACCAGCCCAGATGCAATCAGAATGTTCTTTCAGCTGAAAGCGAGTTGGGAAATTATCTCTGATTTTATAGCTGAGGAAACTGAGGCTCAGAAAGGAAACCTCCAGTAAACAGAGAAAATCCTTTCATGAAACTTGGGAAAACTTTTGTGACAGTAATGACTCTCCCGGGCAAAAAACCAGGCAGAGCTAAGGAAAGACAAATCCAGATCTTCCTATGTGACCTGCCACCTGGTAACTAAAATCATAACTCCCGGCCCCTCCCACTTGGTTCACAACATGTGACTCACTGACGTTGTAAATCAAAGTTCTACTGAACCCTAAAGGTTAAAGGTAGGACTTAAAGTGTGTACTTTACACACACATTCACACTCGGCATGTGTTGTTCTGCATGCAGAATGCCCAGGTTAGAGGTCCTGCTCTTTTGGGACAAATTACCTAATAAATCCATGCCTCTGCAAACTAGGGAAATGAGGGTGTCAGTGTGACAGGGCAGAGACAGGGGATGGGCCCTTCTCTCCGCCCCGCCCCTTCTTCTACAATGCTGAAAAGTATTCCTCCTTTCACCTTCCCCTCCTGGAACCTAGCTCCTTCTGTCACTTCCTTGCAAGTGTCCGTCCCCTGGGTGAGGGAGGTGGCCGGGAGTGAGGAAACGTGGAAGAGGACCTGACCCTCTCCCCTCATCCCCTGCAGGAGCTCTGGCATCCAGACCTTTCTTGCCTCCCCCCCGCCCCCACCGAGACCTGGAGCCACCCCTGTCTGCCCCCAGAGTTAAGGACAGGCGTCCCTGCCCTAGCCTCCGATGCTGGCTCTCAGCTCCCACTCGGCGTCTGCCCACAGCCTTCTTTATAATTAGTGAGGCTGGTGTGTCTGCCTCCCCAGGGCGGGCTCAGCACCTGACCAGCTGCTGGTGGGCCCAAGTCTGCGTCTGCTCAGCCTCGGCGCCACCGCCACCAGCTGTGGCATCTGGGCCAGCTTCCTGTGTGTACCCGTGAGCCTCTGCAGCATTGCTGTGTCCCACAGGTGCCTGCCCCTCCTTGGCCTGAATGCTGCTTCCCGGGCAGAGTGGCCCCGGGCCAGACTGCTGCTCTCTGCAGACCCAGCCACCCTATCTGCCACATTTGTAGGGTCTTGGAGCTGCAGGCCGGAAGCTGCCCTGGCTTTTCCCAAGGCTGTCCACCACTTGCGTCCTGAGTCTCTGCACAGACTCAAGATCTACTTGCATCTGTGTGGCCTCGTGTCCATCTGGCTCATTCATTTTCAGCTCAGGATTCTACGCGGGGTGGGACCGTGTGACTCAGAAGCCCTCCTCCCTTGAGCTCCTCCTCCTGACCCGGACCATTGAGGTCTGAGTCCTGCCCTCTTCCCCGGACTCTCGTCAGATCTCTCCTACTGACCTCAGACTGCAACCCTCTTCCAATGTGTGTGGCCACTGTCTCCTGCCCTGATGGTTGCCCAGACAGTTGGTGGCTCGGCCATCTGGCTGCAGGGTGCCCTGGTAACAGTGGGCCCCTGGAGGACGGTGTGCCAGCTCCACCCAGAGGACCATGAGCAGGGAGCGCGAGCCTCGGCCTCCAGCCTCCACCCCACTCAGCAGCCACATCCCAAGGAAGGGCACTCCAGGCAGCCACAGGAAACTGGGGTGGGACCCCTGGCCAGGAACCACAGGCTCCTCTGCCTGGCGTGGGCCATTCCCAAGCAGGCCTCTGGCACCTCCGGCCAGAACTGGGCCGCCATCAGCACCCACTTCTGCCCTTCTCTCTAGCAGGATCTCCTCAGCCCTGCTGTTCACCCCATCCCACCCACCCCACTCCGGGCACTGCCACTCCCAGGTGGCCCGGGCTGTGCCAGCCAGGGCGGTGGGGACACCTGCTGGTAGGAAAAGCAAACAGAGCGGCGAGTCCCTGGCCCACGAGTGGCTCACATTCCTCTTTCCTGGGCTGTCAGTTTCCCAACATCTGCCAAGTTTCTCTCTCCCGTATTGAGGTTTTAAAAATCCCTGTTCAGTAAACACACATGACTTCCACACGTGTGCAAACACACACAGGCGTCTCACCCAGAAGCACCCAGCTCCTTTGTGCAGACGGGGCCCCCCAGGCAGACACGCTCCCAGACACATCCCCGCAGCACCCACCCTGTGACACACAGACACAGAGCACGCCTGCCTGTCCCTGCGCATCCAGGTCGCGGCCCAGTCCCCGAGTCCACCAGCCTGGGGGGGAGGTGCTCATTTTCAGCCCATGGATCTCTCTGCTGTACGACACAAGACTACACGGTGCCTGAAAGCACACAGACATGTGAACATACATGCACGCTCTCCCCCTGCACAGCCCACGTGGGTCATGTGGGTCAGGGAGACCCAAGGGTCCCGGCAACAAAAGCTGACTCTTGCCTGGGCTTCAAAAAGCTCGACAGACGCGAACTTAGGGGGCAGGTACTCTTCGTCCCAAGAACTGGAAAAATGGAATTGGGGACGTGTCACCGTGAGTGTGAGAAGCAGGCAGAAGCCGGATGCTCCAGGCTCTTGGAACCGCAAGGGCTCTCGAGAGCGCCTTCTTCCTCAGGGCACCCAGATGATTACGGCCCTCAACACGATCGCATGTGGATGACACACGTTTCCCCGGACAGCACTATGTCATTCCAGATTAAGATTCATCAGGGATGTGAGGCGCGGCTGCAGGGCTCCCTGCCTCCCAGGAGCCTGGCTCTCACCGAGCGGCTCCGTCTCCCTCCCCACCCGCTCCCCAGCCCAAGGGCCAAGGCAGAGCCCAGCCCCGAGGCTGTGGTGCAGCCCACGCGGGGGCCCCTCTCAGAAGCCCCCTCCTCCAGGACAGACCCTCAGAGCAGACACCCCCACGGGAATCCGGACTCACTGTGCTCCGCCAGCCCCTGGATCATGTCAAACTTATGGATTTCCTTGGCGTAGTACTCCGACTCGGTGTTCTCCTGCACGCAGCCTTCCTCTCGCTCCCCCTGCATCTCCTCGAGCAGCTCCCGGGTGCTGTTGTAAAGTGCCAGGACCTGGTAGGGGACGTGGGTCATCGCCGACGGCTCGGGGGGGCTGGTGAGCCTCAGCTTGCTCAAGATCTGTCCCCTAATGGCTTCCACCCTCTTCTTCTTGATGTGGCCGAAGTCCAAGGTGGTGCAAGTGGACAGAGCCAGGCTGGCCGTGGCGAAGTTCAGCAGGGCCAGGGCCACCAGAGCCCTTTGCCAGCGCATCTTCATCTGCGAGCCGCGGAGGAGGCGGCCGAGGCGACGGCGGGGCCTGGCGAGGCGCAGACCCGGCAGACGTGCAGGAAGAGGGAGGAAGACCAGGCGGCCTCCCCAGATCCCGAAGACTGAGGCTTGGCAAGAAGGTGCATGAACTCACTGCACTGCGAGAGCCTCAGGACTTCCAGGAAGCGCTGGCAGCCCCGAGGACGGCGACGCGGACCCGGTGCCCGGTGGCGCGGGGGCTCTCGTCCATGGGTCTCGGGCTCGGCTGGGCCCCCGGCAGGCCAGGTGGAGGGCGAGCCGAGGGCGGGGAGGGGTGCGGGCAGCTGGGAGTGGGGAGGGAGCTGGAGGCTTTCCTTAGGTAAAAATAAATAGCGCGGATATCTGATATTGCCAAACGCAGCTTGGCGATGGGCAGGACCGGGAACGTCAGAGACGGAGCAGGAGGACCGGGGCCGGGTCCCCGTCAACGTCCTCACCTGGCCCTGAGGGAGAATCACGAAAGAGGATGGAAAAGACGAGGAAAAACTGTTTAAAAACACGAGGTCGGGTCGCCCGTGAGTAGGTGGGGAGGAGGGCCGGGCAGCGGCGGGCCCCGCTCAAGGCGGGGGCAGCGCGGCACACACTTGTCTCTCCGGCTCCCCATTCATGCTTTCTCTTTTGTTTACACTCCCGGGCTTGCGAGGGCTCCGCTCGGCGGCCTCGGTCCTCCCGGGCGGGGCGGGGGCC